ACAATGTTTTGTANTGGCCTCCTTTTGTCACAGAATCGTCAACTTTCGCGAAAAATATGAGTTCATCAAAGGAGAGCGCCGTCTTTTTATTTATTGTGTTAAGCGCACAAATTTAAACTCACGACTACTCCTAATGGAATTTGAATCAAGTTTCCATTGTACATGAAACAAAAAGCCACAGAACCTACTATAATTGTAGGAAGAGTTATGGGGCTCCATACAACAATGCATGCAGCTTGCACATGAAATTGTTTCGTCTGTGTCAATTCGCGTTGGGTCATATAACCTGTGTGATATTTTTATATTGTGTCATGTTTTTATCAAGACTTACAAAAAAAAAATTATTTATTATTTTTTAAGTGTTAAATAATAATTTAAATTATTTATTATACATATTTATTAATTATATTAATTTTATAATCATATCCTGTTGAATTAAATTTAAATTCGTGTTGATGAGTCAAAATTGGGACCCTAGTTTAACCCTCTCAGCATTGAAGGTAGATGATTCCTTCTGTGCTCAATTACAGTCCCAATGAAACATTGGAAAGAAGCAAACCATCCAACCTACTTCGTAATCGAGGTTAGCGTTTTTTCTAATGGCCACTGACCCGTCATTGAATTTTAAGATTGCGAGTTTAATATTTATCATCCCTCTTCCTGTAAGAGTATTTCTAAGAATATCTCTAATTATGACTCAAATTTTTATTTAAATTTAAATTAATATTTGAGTACAAAACTTGATTTAATACAAATGGCTCCAATAGACAAACTCAAATTAAAGAAAAGAGAAATCCAAATTTAAATTATGGCAAACCCGAATTTAGAATAGAGTAACGATGAACATTGAATATTTATATGAGGATAAAATCTCACTATTAAAAATTTAAATAAATTTTTAGTTTCTCTTTATTTGAGCTAAAAAAAAGTAGTCTCCCTTAATTTGGTATAAGTTTCAGTCAAAAGTTGGAAAAAGTTTTTTTAAAATTTTTTACTCAAATTTAAATTTAAGTCTAAATTTGAGTAAAAGTTAAAGATGCTCTAACAATGTTTTGTTTTTTAACTATCTAAAAATATATTTTTTCTATTTTAACTATTCACTTTTTTAATACACACCCAAACAGATTTTTTATATTTTAACAACTTCTTTTAAATATTATTTCTCATATCTTATACATTTGTTAGGACTATTAAAGGGATAGAGAGAAAAAATGGAGAGAAAAATAAAGAGTGGACAAGAGAGGTGAAAAATGACAAAAAAAAAAAGAAAATATATTATAAACTATTTTTATAACACGGATACTCTAAATATAGAGCATCATTGTGCGAAAATGTATTTTACCTACTCTGAATATCTTTTATTGGAGCATATTTTTTGCCTTTTAGTAGTTAAATTTTAACTATTTTGAAGTTTTAATCATTCTCTCGAAGAAGCTCCAATAGGGTCAAAAAAAAAAAAACCTACTTTATGTGAAGTACATTACAGGATTACATAGAAAAGCTTGTTCATTAACCTTGTCCCTCGGCAGAATTTGTCCAGAATATTCCCCAAAGGAAAAAACAGAAAGGTGGAAGAACACTTGCTTTGAACATGTATCTCTTCATAATCAATCACTTAAGAGATTTTTCATGCATAAAAGTTCAAAATAACTCACGTTAGCAACCCTTCTACTACTTTTTTTTTTTTTTTTCTCTTGAAGTTAAGAGGCTACTTTAAAATGCAACCATTTGGGATTGATAATAATGCTTGACCCCCCATTAATTAGTAATTTAAGTCAATTGATCAAGTTGTAACTAATCTTAATTTAGATGTAACTATTGATACCATAGTTGTATCCCATGTGCTTTTTTGTAGTTCAACGGTCAGAAATATTCGTGTCTGTTTACGTACACCTCTACTAATTTATTCCTTAGTCCGATCAAAAACAGACAATTTATGTTACAACTAGAATATTCAGGAGAGATAAATTTTTCATCCACGTTGANAGTCTTATCCCATATGAGCAGTATGCCTTTGGTGCCTAGTGCCTACCCTTGGGCCCTCGCTCCTTATCCAATAATATTTTTATAAGAGAATGAAAATAGAATTGAATGTATAGTACCATTTCAATATTTAGAAACAATTAAAAGTCTACTCAAATATTTAGATAAATAAATATTTTAAAAATCTTTAGACCCGAACCTCGGTCTAGAACCTAGACTTGACCCTATACCCGCACCTGACCCCGTGTGGCGGTGGTAGTAACACGAGATGGTAGTTAGAGTGCGAAATATCACAATGAAAAATGTTGCATAACTCAAATGAAACTCAAAAAATAAAACTCAAATGTATATCATCTTTTGGATGAATATGGGATGAATGAGTCTCACTGAAAAACTCATCTAAGAGATAATATGTATTTAGATTATAATTTTTTAGATTTCATTTGAATTTTGTAACTGAAGAATGAAACTCATTCAAGGCACTAAGTGACTTAACCAAACAAATTTAAACCAAAAAAGTGGAAAAGAGTAATTTTTTGCCAAGAGATAAATTAGAACTATCAGAGAAAAAAAATATTGTATCGTAATGAAATTTATTATTTTTTAAGGTTAAGTTATAATTACTTGAGATAATTCATGATCAATCATAAAATATTGTGAGCAATCATACATTACTNTTGATATGCATGCTATGGAACCGCACCTCAACAAACAAATGGAGTACCAATGGAGGACGAACGGCTGCCGAGGACGGCATGGTTGATGAGACTCGAACCCAACCCCAAAGCTCTTTCTCTAATCGTTTGGCACAATTGATTAGAACGATAACTAATCGCCATCAAACAACAACATTGGCCAACCAACGNGTTAAACAATCCTTTTTGATTCGTTATTGTCTCCAAACTTCTGTTTGATATGCATGCTATGGAACCGCACCTCAACAAACAAATGGAGTACCAATGGAGGATGAACGGCTGCCGAGGACGGCATGGTTGATGAGACTCGAACCCAACCCCAAAGCTCTTTCTCTAATCGTTTGGCACGATTGATTAGAACGATAACTAATCGCCATCAAACAACAACATTGGCCAACCAACANTGTCTAATTTCGATGATAACATTTTGGCGCCGATCATAAACTATTATAATTTTAAGTATACCATCAAAGGTAATACCGTAGTTTTCCTGGTTCTATAAATTTACAAATAATCATCTAGAAGCCGTTTATTTTGAGATTTAGAATAAGCAAAGGATTACACAAACAGTTGCCCTTCTCTTTCTCTTTGGAGTTTGAACGTTTCAACAGTAAATAAAGCATGGAAGTATCTCAAGCGTCAACCGCTTAGGTAGCTTGCATGTTGCATCTTTCAAAATTGTATATTATTAAATGGATTAGTTCTNCTCTCGTATCTTTTTACCAAACAGCCCCTTATAAGTTATAATGTCTAATTTCGATGATAACATTTTGGCGCCGATCATAAACTATTATAATTTTAAGTATACCATCAAAGGTAATACCGTAGTTTTCCTGGTTCTATAAATTTCTAAATAATCATCTAGAAGCCGTTTATTTTGAGATTTAGAATAAGCAAAGGATTACACAAACAGTAGCCCTTCTCTTTCTCTTTGGAGTTTGAACGTTTCAACAGTAAATAAAGCATGCAAGTATCTCAAGCGTCAACCGCTTAGGTAGCTTGCATGTTGCATCTTTCAAAATTGTATATTATTAAATGGATTAGTTCTTAATACTCTTCTCTTCTTTGTTCTTTCTTGTTGACATTCTTATGGAAAGTAAAAACACCATCCTTAACACAAAAAGTCTATGCCCTTTTCTTCCCTTTCTATAGGAAACCAGGTAGATTCACACAGCAGTCAGCTGTTCAAATCATAAAATATCCCCTAACGTGCAAGTTTTCAGATTTTCTACCATTGAAGTGAGGACACGACTTTTGGTTTTGTTCATTCCAAGTCAAGCTTGAGAGTTTTCCTCTATGCTTCAGTGTTCATACCCACAACTTTAGATAGACGCATACACACCTGATTTGGACATTGTCTCCTCTTGCCACAAAATTGCCCCCAACAATAGGGACCAAAATATCTTCATTTACACAAGTGGTACGAGAAGCCCAGCGGTGTGAAATTAGACTTGAACGAAGAAGTNAGCAGTCAGCTGTTCAAATCATAAAATATCCCCTAACGTGCAAGTTTTCAGATTTTCTACCATTGAAGTGAGGACACGACTTTTGGTTTTGTTCATTCCAAGTCAAGCTTGAGAGTTTTCCTCTATGCTTCAGTGTTCATACCCACAACTTTAGATAGACGCATACACACCTGATTTGGACATTGTCTCCTCTTGCCACAAAATTGCCCCCAACAATAGGGACCAAAATATCTTCATTTACACAAGTCGTACGAGAAGCCCAGCGGTGTGAAATTAGACTTGAAGAGTAGATCTAGATATTAAAAGTTCGACCCTAATTAGTGTTTCTCGAATTTAATTGATGTCTATGATTTGCCGGTGAGTACAGATATCAAAATTTACTAAATTTTATTTTAATTATATATTTTTTAAACTCGTGATTATAAATAAAGTCAGAATATGAACCATTAATGATAAAGCACACAAATGAATAAGTTACTAAAAAACACTCAAACTCGATACTTCCGCGACATAAACGCACCGAAATGGTTGGTAAGCTGTTTACAATTTCTTCATGCATTAAACTAAAGTATATTGAGAACAGAACGATACCTCTGGCATAGCAGCAAGCACCGACACTAATAGCACATGCTCTTTAATTGTATTTACAGAAAAGCCACAAAAGAAATGCAATATTTACAAAACTATGCAGTTAATTATTTGAAATCATTTTCTGCGCCGGAGAACTTGAACGGAACAAAAATGGCGTCCGGCGTCCTTTAGAACGGAAAGGTTTTGCCCAATCCGTTGACGTTAGCGAAGAACCCTACGAGGTCTTGCCTGTACGGTAGATACGATTTTCTCTTATCTCCTTCCTTCAACGCTCTGTTCCGTACATAGAAAACCTCATGAGCAGACGACGACGACGACGACTTCGGTTCGCCGGAGACTTTGACAGACTCTCCGGANGTTCCGTACATAGAAAACCTCATGAGCAGACGACGACGACGACGACGACGACGACTTCGGTTCGCCGGAGACTTTGACAAACTCTCCGGTGTTTTTCTTTTCCTTCGGATGTTTTTCTTCTCTGGCTTTTGGAGTCAGAAATACGAAGGAGTCCTTACCGTCGCTGTTGCTTCGACGGAGCAAATCTCGAATTTTCCATCGCTTCGACGCCGATCCAGTCGAATTGCTCTTCTTACATTCACTCGGCGATGATTCAACCACTTTTGGCCTCCACACGCAGTACGTTCCCTCCGGTACACTTTCCAATTCGTCAACTTCTGATGAAGACGACGAGGGTGGCTCTGGCTCATGTTCACCTTCCTCTCGTTCTCGAACAAACAAATTTCTCAACGGAATTCTAATACTAGAAACATCATCAGAAGCCTTAATTTCACGATCATCAGCATCATTTTCCAGCAAATCGCGGTTGAAAATTGGGAAAACAGGACGAATCTGACCGTCGTAAAAGATTTCATCAGCCAAAGCATCTGTATCGCCACGTACAAGAGCGAATTCAAAATCATCGTCTTGCTCGCCGTTACGATCATTTGAAGAATCAATTCGTTGTGCTTCATTGTCACCAAGTTCAGATTCATGCCTCAATTCTTCGCTAACTCTGACTGCTATATCAGCTAATCTACCCGAAGAGTAGCTATTAAAACTAGGGCACACAGAGAGATCGTCATGGCTTTCATGCAGTTCGAGTTGCTTCTGTTCCTCCATTGTTATTGAAGCTGAGTAGAGAAATGTGCGTTTTGGAGAGAGAGCGAGAGAAGGAGAGAGATGAATGCAGGGGTTTGTTGAGCGGATTTATCATTTATATCTAAGAGTCGTTGGGGTTTTGCAGCGAAAACGATGGGAGACCAAGTGTTTGGTAATTTGGAAGTGTGGGGTTGGTGATTTTTCGACTTAAGAGAACTAGTCGATTCGATGTCTATTCATTTCACGCGACTCACGCGGTGAGTTCACTTCACGGTTCACATTGTNGGGGTTTGTTGAGCGGATTTATCATTTATATCTAAGAGTCGTTGGGGTTTTGCAGCGAAAACGATGGGAGACCAAGTGTTTGGTAATTTGGAAGTGTGGGGTTGGTGATTTTTCGACTTAAGAGAACTAGTCGATTCGATGTCTATTCATTTCACAGGACTCACGCGGTGAGTTCACTTCACGCTTCACATTGTGGGTGTGTTCCATAAATAAACCCCGCGTTTATACTACTTTTATACTCCGTTTGATGAAAAGGACAGAAAATAGGAAAAATAAAAAGTAGGAGCGATGTACATTTTATTCTTAAAAAATAAAAAATAGAAATGATGTGTTTTTCTTTTTTTGTGTTTNAAATAAACCCCGCGTTTATACTACTTTTATACTCCGTTTGATGAAAAGGACAGAAAATAGGAAAAATAAAAAGTAGGAGCGATATACATTTTATTCTTAAAAAATAAAAAATAGAAATGATGCGTTTTTTTTTTTTTGTGTTTAGTTTTGTGTTTAGTTGGATGGATGAAAAATAAAAATAATTAATTTTTTTTTTTATTTTTTGTTTTGTAATGACTAAAATTAAGGTTGAGATTAAAATTCTCGGCGTTACCTAGGAAACTGTTAACTGCCAAATTCAAACTAGGATATTTTTTCAACAATAAATTTTTTGAAATTATTACTTTTGGACAATTTGCCATGAACTTGAAAAATTGAACTCATCTTCAATAATAAAAATTAAAATTGGATTTATTTTGACGAGATAAGAAGATTAATGGTAAGAATTGTCTTGTGAAACTTGAGAAGTAAATTGAATTGAAACTTTCTAAAAGAGAGACTTGAACTTGCTTTTTAATACCACAGATTAATTACAGTCCAAAATTGTGTTGGATTAATTAATGGTAACTTGAGAGTCTAGGCGTTACCTTTTGAAACTGCCAAATTCAAAGAAGTATAGTTTTTCTTGGGGTGAAATTTACCATAAATTGACGATACTTCGTCATTTACGTCACAATGTAAAAAATCTCGGCATGAATAGTTTATTTTTTATTAGATCGGAAAGAAATTTAGTCGAAATACACATAAACTGACTCGAACATCTCTAACCATTAAATCAAAAAAAAAAAATTACCATAAATTGATGATATGACATCATTTACATCNGTCTAGGCGTTACCTTTTGAAACTGCCAAATTCAAAGAAGTATAGTTTTTCTTGGGGGTGAAATTTACCATAAATTGACGATACTTCGTCATTTACGTCACAATTTAAAAAATCTCGGCATGAATAGTTTATTTTTTATTAGATCGGAAAAAAATTTAGTCGAAATACACATAAACTGACTCGAAGATCTCTAACCATTAAATCAAAAAAAAAAAATTACCATAAATTGATGATATGACATCATTTACATTGCAATGTAGAAAATCTCTCCCCTTTCATAATTTCAACTTAATATATATAATAACGATATTACGAGCAATTGAAGTATTTATCACCTCGTTTCACTCTTTTTTTTTCTCACTGTTGCCTCATCTTTCACATCGAGAAGTTTGGTAAAAAAAAATTAAATATTTATCTAATATTACAATTAAAAAATTAAAATTTTAATTTATAAAAACATAATAANTCTTTTTTTTTCTCACTGTTGCCTCATCTTTCACATCGAGAAGTTTGGTAAAAAAAATTAAATATTTATCTAATATTACAATTAAAAAATTTTAATTTATAAAAACATAATAACGGTCAAAATTATTCTAATTTTAATCCAATTTGATTTGATAACACAAAATTTATCTCAAATATGTTTTTTCCTATTCAAAAACATCATATGTTTTTGTATGGTCCCCAATATCAGACAATTCAACTAGCACACTCATTAATGTCAAATAGCCCCTATTAATTCACATTTGCATCTCTCTCTTATCTCTTATCACTCTTTTANATTAATGTCAAATAGCCCCTATTAATTCACATTTGCATCTCTCTCTTATCTCTTATCTCTTATCACTCTTTTATTTTTTTTATTTATTTTAATTTTTAAGTTATATGATTAAAAAAATAATATATTGTTAATATAACTATTGCACAATTAATATTTGATTTTTAATATTATAAAATATTTTCAAAGTCAGATTATTACTAGTTATATTTATAGTAACATAGACTTATCTAAAAAGACTTGAGAGGCGAGATGAGCCTGCGGTAGCAATAAGTCCGTCAGAAACCCATCTTCAGCACACACTGAAGCTGGATTTAAGGCTGCGTCCTCTAAAACATAAGATAGAAAAGCGTGGACTTTCTAGAAGGAGGATCGGGACATGAACGAAAAACAGCACACCCATGACGTTTTCAATCTAGAAAAATCTTGTTATTGAAAGCAATCTCTGCCTAGACTTTGGCATGTAATAAGGCCTTTGTTTTTCTTTAAATTTACATGTAAGGACGGCAGCCAACAGGTAGAAAAATGAGTATTTTTTTAAAAAATTTATTTTATCTAAATCGAAAATGAATTATATGTATTAGATAGTTGACATATATAAAAATATTTATATAAATTTGTATGAAAACGAAGGCAAAGATACACCGAAACTCATCTCCACCCCGCCCCTCCCCAACACCTATATATTATCACAAAGACACAAACTTCACCCGTCATCCCACCCACTTATTGTGAGTTTTAATGTTTAATCTATTTGTTATGTAATGTGTTTTTATCATTATTACAGATTCATTTGTGAGATTTTATAAAAAAATTTAAACATTTTTCTTAAAATTATAATAATTAATTGTTATGGACAGNTTATGTAATGTGTTTTTATCATTATTACAGATTCATTTGTGAGATTTTATAAAAAAAATTTAAACATTTTTCTTAAAATTATAATAATTAATTGTTATGGACGAAAACAGGGATCAAAATTTACCCGCAAAGTGGGGATGGGAATTAAAATTTCCAACAGGGTGGACGAATATTTTTAAAACAGGTACGGGGATTGAGACTACTCCTCTGCCCTTGCTCCCTACCCTAGTCTACTGTCACCTCAACTATTTTTCTCCTCAATTCAATAAAAACAAATTATCTACACTGAAACAGAAACTAAAAAATTAAACATGGTACGGGGATTGAGACTACTCCTGTGCCCTTGCTTCCCACCCAAGTCTACTGNGGATTGAGACTACTCCTCTGCCCTTGCTCCCTACCCTAGTCTACTGTCACCTCAACTATTCTCCTCCTTAATTCAATAAAAATAAATTATCTACACTGAAACAGAAACTAAGAAATTAAACATGGTACGGGGATTGAGACTACTCCTGTGCCCTTGCTTCCCACCCAAGTCTACTGTCACCTCAACTATTCTCCTCCTCAATTCGATAAAAACAAATTATCTATACTGAAACAGAAACTAAGAAATTAAACATGGTCTAACTTAAATCGTCTTTTATCTCAATTGCCCTATCTTTGGAGTTATACAAACTTTCTTTGCCACTGCTTTCAAAACTTAAATTGCCAAGTAGATTATATCAAGGATAAAAATAGACGTGGAGGATGGGACTTGCTCATTAATGTAGGAATGCCTGTGTTTGTGGATCTCACTGATTTTTATATTGCCATCAACTAAAATAATTAATTGCACACCTAATTGATGACATTTTACCTAAGCATCAACCTCAAGAATGCCTAAGCCTTGGGTTGTTTGATTAGTTTTATAAAAACCAGTATAACTAAACTTGTAGGTAGTTTCTGTTATGAGCAGCAGTATTATTTGAGCAGATGAACAAACTTTGTTTGTCATTGGACAATTAGTGTACTCCATTTACTATTAAAATATTGAAATTCACTGTTAAATTTAGCATCATAAATAAATTGATGCGGTATTGAGTTTTTAATAACCTTATTAGTTGTTTATTTCTTTATTTTGTTTTGTTCTAAAGGAGAGTGTGATTAGGGCGGTTAATCGAACCGAGTTTGAGTCCAAACTTGTCGAGCTCTTTTTTTAAATAAGTTTAAAAAATTGTTCAAACTCACTTGTTTAAAAAATGAACCAAGTTTGAGCAACAAAAAAATTGTTCAACTTCAATTCATATAAAATATGAATCGAAAACGAATCGACCTAGAATAACTCAGTTCAATTAACAATCCTAAGTGTGATTTAATATATGCCTTGTAATCGAAACATTTGACACACATCGCTAGAATGTGAAAAGGCTGGTTGTTTCACACTAGAGTACTTTCCACGAGGTCTTTGATTTTTTCTTCATGGAAAATAAAGTTAGCATCAAAACAACTGGAATACAATTGACTAAAAAATTAAGCATGGGCATGACATCGAGAGACGAATTGCCATGGGATTAACACCTATTGCTAACAATAAAAATAAAATAAAATAAAATCACACCTTCACGAGTAGTATCATCGGAATATAATAAGGCCATGATATAAATGGAAATATAGACATACCCCAAACGATTCCATCAAATAATCAGAAAGTTGAAGGCATAGGTGAAGCGAAACGTGGACATGCCCATGATATCAGAATAACCTGGTTTTACATAGCAAACCTATAGTAGAGTTTAACTGTACAACTTTAGTCCTTACAGACTCTGGCATATACACNAATCAGAAAGTTGAAGGCATAGGTGAAGCGAAACGTGGACATGCCCATGATATCAGACTAACCTGGCTTTACATAGCAAACCTATAGTAGAGTTTAACTGTACAACTTTAGTCCTTACAGACTCTGGCATATACATAATACATCATTTAGAGAACTCCTATTTACATTATCGTGGCTCCCTGTGTTTCAATCCCTCCTTCAGATGCTCCATTTTGTCCTTCATTCGGACAGACAAATCGCCCAAAGTCTCTGAATCCGAACTTTCTAATCGCTTCATCTGAATTATATCATGGTACATTGGTCGAAACCGAGTCTGAAAAGCCCTGTAGGAGAAATATGGCAAGAGTGTGGAAACAACAACCATAAGGGTGGCTAGCCAATAGAAAGGACTCGGAGCACAGGCGTCCACAAGAACCTGGTATGCTGTTGTTGATATTGTTGGTGGCAGTGAACCATAAACAATTAAGAATAAATACCATAAAGCAATGCTACCCCAGATGAAGAAGTGCTGGATCCAAGTGAAATAGTTAATGGAGATTGCCATTTGACAGTTCACAGTCCACACCACACAAGTATACATCATAACCCCAAGAACTTCAAAGTCGACTACTTGACCATCTCTTCGGAAGGCCTGATGCATGGTGGCTTTGGTCGTGAAGAAGAACATTATCATGGAACTGATAACCCCATTAAACATCCAGCCAAGTATGCGGATCCAACTGAAGAGAATGTTCTGCACTCCCTCTTGATACAGCAAAGGATACTGTACAGAAACAGTTAAATTAACGGACAATCCTTTGATCAAAAAAAAAAACAAAAAAGGGACAATCCTATATTTTGTACATGTATCCAGCGCATGAGAATGAGATAGAAAATATTACCCATGTATCCAGCGAGCGAATGCATTACATATCTACTCCCCTTGGGGTTTACACAACAATTTATGTCAATTCCTTTTAAGTTTGGTCAACTAACATCCAACAACTGGAAAATTTTAGGATAAATCAAAAGGACCCCCCCCCCCCCCCCGGGGCGCCCAGTTGAATTTATTTTATGGCCACCTACTGGCATTTCAGAAATGACAATGGGACTCTGACATTTCCATCTTTTAACAGCATGACACCCCCAGTAAGATCACCTCAACCAAAATAATATCAAAATACAAAAATTACCCTGTTATTACTCGTTAGAATAAAATAATCTTGTTTTCAAATTAATGGCAAACTGGAACAAAATTGGCCCAGAAGGAACCCCCCCCCCCCCCCCC